CTCTGTCTCAAAAATAAATAAAAACATTAAAAAAACTTTTTTAAATAAAAAAATAAACATTTTAAAAAAAGGACCAAAAAAATTAATTAATTTCTAAAAAACAAACCAAATGACTAAGTAAATACATTTCAAATCCCCAAAGAAAATAAAAATGGACCAAATAAACAAATTTTAACCTCCCAAATAAAATAAAAATGGACCAAATAAATAAACCTTAACCTCCAAATAAAATAGAAATGGACCAAATAGATAAGTAAATTTAAAAAATAAGAAAATAAATACAAATGGACCCCCCCCAACCATACGCATTTCCAGGCATATGGCTTTTTTTTTTTTCTCTGCGGGCATATGGCTTCAACAAAGTCACCCTACAAGTGTCAGACCAGGAGACCCCTTCCGGCAGGGGTGGCCGGTTCAGGAGGCTGCGGGGCATTTGTCCTTCCTCTGAAGGAGCACAGACAAGCGCACGGGAACCCCTGGGTCGTGAGCCTCCAGGGAGACGGGACGGGCTAACAGATAGATTCCGGGGCGCTCCCGGGTCACGTACCGAACTCCACGGGCTGGCTCCAGGCACTCCAATGCTGTCCCCGTGCGTCTGAGGCCCGTATCGTCACAGTGTGCTTGGGTCTGGGCTCTGGACTCGGGAAGTTGTATTTATTTTCCGATTTGCCGGTCACGTCGATCTTTGGACACAAGAGAAAAGTTTCAAGGCAGGGTCTCCTGTGTTCAGCAAAGAAGGGCTGGGGCGGGACGTGGCGGGGATCGGGCGGGGGGGGGGAATGCCTTTGCAACAGCCCCACCGAGGCAGCTGACAGGTTCAGAAGCACGCTCCCTCACGGGGCTGAACATTAGAACTGTCTAGAAACACGTGGTCTCGGGGGCTTCCCCAAGTAGAAATCACTCAGCAGGTACAAGGGCCAGGAGCAGAGACGGGGACCGAGCTAAGCCCCATTGGACAGAAGATGATATGGAAGGTCAGAGTGTCCCTAGGACTTAGGAAACGTCCCCATAAAGGACGTTGACGTCCATCCACTACAGGTGTTTGGCAGGAAGAAATCTGGGTCACGCTCACAGGAATCTTCTGGGTCAGGGTTTTAACTCACCAGTTGATTTCCGGCGTGTTCCTTGTTGTTCTAGAAAAAAAACAAACAGAACTAGATGTACTTTTCTGCATCGGGCACGTTTTTACAGTTTTCACACGTTGTCTCCTGGGAGTGTGGTCAAGGGTCACACCCCGGGGCCCAGGGGACGGCTGAGTCCCTGTGAGCTGCCTTCACCCCGACTCACATGGGGACTGAGGGTGGGACTCATCCACGGAGGGAAACGGGGCCTGATCATGCCTGGGGTTCAAGCCAGTGGCGGATGGGGCCAAGCAAGGGCTGGAGGTCCTGTTTGTCTACACTGGGCGCAGGCGGATGTGGAGAGAGGGCTCCCCATTGTCTACACTGGGCGCAGCTGGAAGTGGAGTGAGGGCTCCCCCTGTCTACACTAGGCGCAGGTCCATACGGAACCTACTGTCCCCCCATCTACACTGGGAGCACATCCATATGGAGCCTAGGGTCCCCCTGTCTACACTGGGCGCACGTCCATAGGAGCCTAGCGTCCCCCGTCAACACTGGGCGCGCGTCCATATGGATCCTAGGGTCACCCGTCTACACTGGGTGCAGGTCCATATGGAGCCCAGCATCCCCCCTGTCTACACTGGGCGCACGTCCATATGGAGCCTAGCGTCTGCGGTCTACACTGGGCGCACGTCCAT